CCGACCTACCGACCTACTGACCTACCGACCTACCGACCTACCGACCTACCTGCCAACCTGGCTGTCATCCCTCTGCCTGCCTACCTACCTGCCCTCTCTCTGCATGAGCCTCAGGCGGACTGGAACGAGGAGGAATACGACCCGAGCAAGGCTCTTCTCGATAAGTTGGTTTGCGATGTGGAGCACCAGCAAATCAGCAACAGGTGGACCAACGAAGCGACTACGAGACCCGAGTCATTGCCAAGTATCGCATGAGGCCCGATCGATGAGCGGCCACATGATGCGATGTTTGTGTCGCACTTGGCTGCCAGGCCGTCCCGAACCGGCAAGTACGGCACCTGAGCTCTTCTCTTCACAACGGAGCACTCAGCCCACCACCTTCCCAGGCTCACGTCAGGTTTCTCTTATGCCATAACTGCTTCCGTACCTGTACCTCGCGGCAATCTGCTCCGTGGTTTTCCCGTTTTGGAGGGCACCAGGCTTCCGAAGAGGGAGCAGCGCAAACAGAGCTGATGAAAGAAGTGACTTGTTTGGCTCAGAGCAGCTGTCAGCCACAGACTCAGCTTCTCCTGATTCTACGTTTCGTCGTGTGTCTTCTTCTCGGTCTCGTTCTCTGCTCCTCCTTCTTTTTGTTTGTCTCTCGTACATGCAGATTCTAGAGGCAAATATCTCACCAATCCACCCCGCCCAAGCCCACCCCAGCTCACTCCCCGCGCCGAGCCCACGCCTTCTCCTGCACCAGCGGCAAGGAAAGTGATTCGTAGCAGGACCGTAAACCCGCAAGCAGAGCATGTCACCCAGAGAAGGCGGACTTCCTGCTATGGAACGGGTAGTAACCTTTACGAAAGTTTGCCATTGTTGAGCAGGCTTCGTAGCCGTGTCTAGTTCTGCTTCGTGGCAACACTTTGGCGTCCACAGCCGAAGTTGCTGCTGCACCATGGACGTCTTGGGCTTGCTGATGGAGCATCCTGTCAGCAGCGGATGCGCTGCTGCCGCTTGGACATCTCAGGGTTTGGCTCAAAAGCGGTTTTAATCGTTGGCCAGCAAAGAGGCATTTCGGAACCGGGCCGCATGCGGAACATGCTGTAGACTCTTGTCCGACCAGGACGTAGGGAGGTCGCCCGGCTCGATTGGCGGGCGACCAACCCCAAAAGGTACCGTTTGCCTCCAAGGTCGCTTGCTCGTTTCGCAGATTGCTCAGTTCGGTTCAGTCGCAACAGACAAGTTTGCTCAGCCTGCATAACCTCCGGAGTCTTTAGTTTAGCGGGCCAGCTGAATTTTTGTTTCCACTGCAATCTGCATTGATCCGCAAATCCAGTTGCTGAAAACCCTGATTTGCGCAGCTCAAGATTCCGGCGGAATCAACGCAAACCCGAGCTCTGGGTCCAAGGCTACGCTGGCAGTGGCTCTTGCCACGGCCACGCGCAAGCCTGAGCCTCCTGCGGAGGTCCGGCCAGGAGTGCAACGAATTCGCTTCATTCAGAGTTCAGGGTACAAGACAGCACCAGACTAGGCTGAGATGGCTTCGGTTCCTTCATTCCAGCCGTCACAGACCACACATCTCCTCAACATTTTTCAACTCCCCTGAGTTACGTTGAGTTGCAGTGAGCAAAGTTGGTGCAGCAAGTTTTGCACCGCTGGTGGTGGTAACCTACACTTTTCAAAACAGCAACGGCAAGAATTGACAGCATCTTCTTGGCTAGCTTAGCACGCTGCCGGTATGCCACCAGCCACTGCATTCAGAAGACCGAATTCCCAAGCAATGCAGGGTGGAGAACACAGCAAGCTCGGAACCCGAGTCACACTTAGCGAAGAGGTGCAGGCAGCGGCGAAGGCCAAAGAGCCCTGGGACTCACATGTGGTGTCGGCTCTGAGCGATCTCCAGGCTCGGGAGCCTCAAATTCGAGGGGGTCGTTAATGCAGCTACTTGCCATTTCGGAAGTCGCCGGTGCTGCTGCTGTTGTGGCCATTCTTGTCATCACGATCTTCATGTGTATTGTTACCAGTGCTATCATGGCCAGGACTGTAGTTGCTATTGTTGTTCCCCTTATATTACATGTTGTTACCGAGTCTGTTGTTGCAATGGCTTTCCTCGAGGACACGTTTCGGGGAGATAGATAGAGAGGTTCCGGACCTGTTCGGAGGAGGAACAGAAACGGACGGAGCCTACAGCCTGAATACTGAGCGCTCTTGTTGGGCAGTATGAGTTGTGTGAAGTTTTGGAGTCTCGGAGATACGACCCAGACCGGAGATCTTCCGCCCATTTTCTCCCAGCTTGCAGCTTCAGGACTCACTTGTGGGATCCTTCACTTGTCGTGGAGCGGGCACTCTTGGAACACCTTTTGGTTTCATGCACGACTGAGAGGCTTGGTGAAAGAGACTCCCAACTAACATCGTCAACTTCACCTGGGCTCCCCACAATTTCCAGAAGGTTCTCTCGACACTTACCTCCTCAGTTCGGCACCTTGAGGCCGTGCAGCCCAAACGGGTTCCTGATAACCTGCCATGAGGAGATTTCTCCCGGCTGCTTGTGGCAAGTTTCCGCATCGGGTGCCTCCGCCGGCCCACCGAAGCTTTGTTAAAGAGTTGTTGGGGACCTGGGGTTCTGGTCGTGCATGGCACGCATGGCCTGCGCATGGCTTTGTGACATGTAGCCTTTGCGAAGAAGGGAGATGTCCAGACGCCTTTGAGGTTTTGTGCTCGAAACCCCGGTCGAGTAAACGGACTGACCCGAAACATGAGTCGACAAGCCTGTGAGCAGCCTGTGACATTTCGCATCTGAGGATGAGGAATATGACCCTCTATCGACCCCAAGGCTCTGGGGAGTTGGTGGTTTTCTCGGCTGTGGCCTTGGAGCCCCGTTTGATGGAGCAGGCCGGACGCATGCCCAGCATGCTCGCGGTTTCAGCCAGGTGAGTGCTCCGGTCCTAGACCTGGAAGTGGTCTGTAACACATGTGGTGGCAGCTGCAGCAGGAGCACTTGAAGGCGAAACGAGAAGACAGCAGAAAGCCGAGCAGCAACAAGAGTCATCGTGAAGCCATAGTGTACTACAGTCAGGACGATATCTAAGTCCCAGCTTCAGGTCGAGGCTTTGGGGCGGCCAGCAGTTCTGGTGGTTCCGAATGCATACCATCGCGAAGATGCTGCAGTGTGGAAGGTGCTCTGCGGATCGCTTCTGTCTGGAAGAGTCTCTAACGGCAAACCTTTGTGCCCTTTGTGTGTCTGAAGCCTTCGTTTCAAGTGTACGACCGCATGATACAAGCTTCGGATTCGTTGAACTGCTCGCCGAGAAACCTCGACGTCTCGTACGCTGTCCACCTGTCTTTGTTTTCAAGGTACAGTAGTGTTGCATCTAGCAGGCTCTGTTGCAAAGGCACTGACACGGTGTGACAAGGAATCCTACTTGCGGTATGTCTTCTGAAACCGGTTTGCCTACTAGTCTTATCTTCGACCCTCCCCAAGAAATTCCAAAGCCGACCTTGACATGGCCTGATATCATGCTGTTCAGAATGCAAGGCACGATACCCGGACTGCAAAGTCTGCGCCCCTCAGGGCAGCACATGGGTTCGCGAGCGCATCGCGAAGGCTCTCTGGTCGCAAGGGCTGGAACTCCGTTGCAAAGGGACTTCTGAGATGCACCTGTAGTGTATGGTGGACTGAAAGCTGGTACCCCGTGGAAGCCTGCAAACACCCAGGAGATGAGGCAGATCACGCACGCAGAGAAGCAAGGGTCAAGTCGAGAGCCCACGTTGGAAGACGACGGATTTTGCGGCGCACCTTTTCGGGGATGCAGCTGACTGCAATGCCTCATAAGGTAGTAGCCGTGGACTTCGATTCGCGAGAATTGAGCCAGCGATACAGTGGCGCCATTGCAGTGGAGGCTTCCGAATATGCGAGCTATTGTCAGCGACCGCCTTCTGTCTGTGGCCGGTATTGCCGAATCAAGGGCACTGCGACGTAGAATTTCGATGTCGCTTCCTTGAGTTCGGATCCTTGCCGGGTGCACGGTCGGACTGTCACTTTGCTTCTGGATTTCGGGCAAACACTCAAGGAGAGCTGGCACAGGGTCGACGCTGTTAGAGCTGGGAGTCGCACTTTTCGGGCACAGGCTTCGAAGTTCCGCCCGGGTTTTCGGGTGTTAAACTCCTCTGAAGAAGAGGTCTGACCAAAAGACCTGTCTAAAATATCTGCGAAATGGGTATTTGTGCTGGAGCCTTTCATGGCGTCTTTCCAAGCGAATTCGTCGAATGCTGCCTCAACCATCCAACCCTCCAGGCCATAGACGGATGGAATCTGAACAACGAAGAGGTCTTCGAGCAGCCAGAAAGCACATTTGACACACAGCTTGGCAATCTACTGGTTCGCACAGGTTTTCCACAAATTGAGGTACATAGGTTTGGGGGTTTTATTAGGCCCCTTCCCTTAGCCAGCGTTTTTTTGTCCTTCATGTCGTAG